GGAGGTGAAGAATTGGTTAAAGAGGTCCGCTTTCTCCTCTGACGCAACCACCAGATTGCCCAGCGTATCCTGCAGGGGTCCCACATTACCCGGCGCCTTCTTCATCCTCCCAATATATTTGAAAAAGGACTTTTTGTTATCCTTAATCTTGGACGCTAATCCGAGCTCTATGTCCGCCTTGGCCTTCCTAACAGCTCGCTTACAGGCCCGAGCAGAGGAGGTATACTCCTCTTTGGAGATTTCACCCCCCTTCCACCAGGCATACGCCGCTGTTTTGGCAAGCAGGCAGTCCCGGACGCCCATCGAGCTGGGTCAGAGCACCAGGGATCAGCCTGCCAGCCTGGGGCTGCTCCATACCGGCTCAATATGCTGCAGAGGTCATGAGGGTGCTCCAGTGTGGGTGTAGCCCCGAGGCTGAAGTACTCTCATGCCCCAGCCAGCCCCATCAGTGTCTATACATGCAGTGTTACAGAGTAAAAAACTCTGCAGGAGGATAGTACTGGTATTTACATGTACTATTCTGCTGTGGAGTTTATTAGTTTACTCCAGCCTAATTGCCCTGCACATGTAGATGCTGAGACATGTACTGCGTAGCTAATTAGGCAACTCCGCAGTAAACGTCTCATGTAGACTCGCCCACTCGTGCAGAACGTGAGACAAACCTGCTCCATATGCTGTGCTGTTTCTAAATAGCATCAGTCGCTTTTCTTGTGGGGAGAATATAGCTAGGTGAAGCAAGTCCTACATTGTCTCCTTGTTAAAAAAAGCAACCTAAGCATGCTTCTATAGCAGTCAGTGTGAGCTTCCTTCTTCCACCTTCAATGGAAAGAGGGTCAAAACCCAAACCCCGAAATACAGCCTGTGCCTTTACTCCACTGCTTACTCTGAAGCTAAATCTTGTTTGGCAGAAGTCAGGCCCATGCTGCACAATGCTGTTCTGTCAGCTAGAGGTGTGAAAAAATAACACCTCTTGGCCGAAATGGCTGTGTCGGCAAAACCCCTTATGTATTCACCATTCGGGGAGATGGTGCAGCTACACCAGCAGCAAAAACCTTCTGTCAGAGTGAGTCGCATTTACGGCAGGGGGCTCTGCTGACATAGCTATATAATTATAGCTATAACAGCAGCGGCTTTGTCGTGTAGACAAGCCCTTTGTGGTGTGAGTAATCCTGTTGAAATTAATGGAACGACGGGTGAAGGATGAGAACTTGAACTAAGCAAACGGTTCTGGATTTGATCCCTCAGGATCTTCTAAGGGGAAGAATTTATTTTAAATACAGTTCTGTGGTGCTAATGCAGCACTGGCAGTTTTATTATTTTATTTTTTTGGCTTGTGTGCAGTTAGTTTCCTGGGTTTCCAAAGGCTTCTAGTGCTTATTATAAGGAGAAACCAGCTATCAAAGGTGAAAAGAATATTCCTTAGCTTACAAGGCTGAGGTGTAACCATTCATTTTTCTCCCCATTTTGCTGATAAACCCGGCATTCAGGTTATAAAGATTCATTGCTAGAAGCCTCTCTTAAATTGGCAGCAATACAAACTCCTGTTATCCTGCCCCATGGCTGTAACCACAGGTGAAAGAGCCTGTTTCACATGGCACAAGTGAGCCATTTTCTTTGATTTTACAGTAACTTCCTGTAGGTTAATGATCTATAAAATGTTGCGGTTAGAACCAGAAAATCATAGCCTGCATTGCAAGATTTCTCACATTCATTTCACACGTGTATAATTATTGCTGCCACAAAGGATCGCTTTTACCATGTTCCCTTGATGTGTGTTTCTTTAATGACTGATTCGTTTCCACTGCTGCCTCGTACCACGTTGGTCACTTTTGTAACGACGAGAAGAGGAGCAGAAATGATTAATTTAGCAGTATTAAATCAGTAGCAGCTTGATCGAATGTGCAGCCAAATTTCATCATTTACTACTAATGCCTGGGCCAGCCTGTCTCATTTATCCTGGTGCACTGAGCAGGGTTCAACTGGACGTTATCGCTGCGTGTCAGGGGAATCTCTGCGTAAGTCACTTAGAGCGTGGGTGTCCATTAATTATGACTGTGGATATATGTGCAGTTTGATGTATCACAGGTAGCGCCTGATACTGGCTTGCCCCTTAATATTCTTCTGCTTAAAAACCTTTACAAAGTTTTGAAGAAAGTCGAAGTCCTGTTTTACTTCAGGCACTCCTGGGTCCATAGAATATGTGAAGGTCCTTTCCAAATGAATTTCATGGCATTTGCCAGGCATTGTATATGGCTGGCAAGATGCCAGGAATGCTGATCAAGTTGAACTGCTGCAATTATGGGTCATAATGGCTAATTTCTAAAGGAATTATCAATTATTAAAAATCAAATTAATCGGTTCAGCTCAGCACAAACATATTTAACCAAGACTGTCTCAACCAGAGCCAGTGTTCTAATCAGCAGGCAAAAAAGCAGATATTTAATTAGATTTTGATGAAAAATTGTGTTTAATTTCAAGTATAATCAATTATTAATTACTGTAATGAGTGACTCTGACTGGGTTTACTAATTAACTCATTTAAAAATTATGAATAACCTTTTCATTTGTAATTATTTTCTACATCCTGTCAAATTGCAGATAAGAATTGCATCACCTAACCCAAAAGCAAAAAAAAAAAAAGATAAAAAGAATCAAAAGAACTGTACATTTCTCGAGTCCTGGCAAGAAGTGGGGTATTCTGTCAGAAATTACAAAGTGCTCAATAACAAAGCATTTTTTAACGTGCTTATCTGTTTGCAAAATAAATTCTTATTTATTCTCTGAGCATTGATATTTATATATATGTTAATTTGTTTGCATGGTTATATAGATACCCTAACTCAGGTTGACTGTAATTCTCTCCTGTTGATTTCACTCAGACTGGTTGAATGGCAAAGGGACTGCTGGACACTGGGGGCATTTATACGTGTGCTCTACTGCGGAGTTAACTAATTAGCTCTGCAGTAAAGCATCTATGTCTACACATCCAGCGCTATTAGGCATGAGTAAACTAATGAACTCCTCTGTAGGATAGCACTGCCTGACAGAAGTATTATCCTACGGCAGAGTTATTTACTCTGCCATAATGCACATGTAGATGGTAACAGGGGCTGGCTGGGACGCGGAAGTGCTACAGTGCAGGGTCTTCCAACCAGCCAGCCCCACACTGTGGCACCCTCATGCCCCAGCCAGCCCCTCTGCAGCTCACTGAGATGGGTCGGAGCAGCCCTGGGCTGGCCAGCTGACCCCCGTGGCTCCCTGCCAGCCAGGGCTGCACTGCCCTGGCTCCATGTCCTGCAATCCTGGGCACACGTGTAAAGACTGTGCCAGGAGAAATAAACTCTGGTGCAAACTGTACCAGACTTTACTCAGGCGCATTAATTGCTTGTGTAAATATGCCCACTGGTGGCAAAAGCTAGCCCCTATGGTGCCTTCTGAACATTGTTAGCTTGGCCCCTTGATCTTATTTGTTAAAAGTAACTCTGAAAATTGTTCCTTTAGTGGCCATTGGCTTCATCCAAAGCTGAACAAAGCC